GATTTTTTATATCTTTTGTAAACAAAATGATCGTAAGACAGTAGACTTCATCACACCTTCGCCTCACTCACACCGCCCTCTCATGGCCGGAGCTTACGTTTTCGGCGCGGGAAGCTGTGTTATGGACCTCCTTCATATCACATTTTATATTGAATGTTCATCAAACCTATCTAGCTTATTCTTCTCTATTTTCAAGGCTGTGTTCATCTTTGCGCAAATTCTATTTTTACGTAAGTTTGCAACAGCCACCCTTCATAAATCACCAAGCATTCGACTTGTACTTTTCCACATACTTGGCACTAACGTGTGCCTTTGGTTTCGCGCGCTTTTTAGCCACTCGAAAAGCATCTTTAGCACGCGTAGAACACAAGAAGATTTAAGTACGCGTGAAGAGAACGCGTGCTTTGCAAATCACTATTCTATGAAGAAGATTTGGGAAGCGTCAGAACCTTATTTATACCCGTTCACAATGGAATACTCGCTAATAGCGGGTGGCATTCTGTACACCATGTGGAGCGAGATGCGAGATCTGGATCCCGACCCGCAGGATATTTACATTTATGACGAGTTGTCGGATTTCAACACGACTTCGGATAATTTAAGTGAACGATTAGAGAAATTTGAACACGACCACGGATACGGAACGTGCGAGGCTGCGACGCCGTCCAAGGATTCGGTGTCTAGTGGACGTTTTTCCAGTCGTTTTTCATTGAATCGAGCCATGTCGAACTCATCTATTTGTCAATCGTGCGTTGAAAATCAGGACGCTCTTCGGCTCCATGCGATTCCAAGTTCGGACCCAGGCCTTTTAATCGGGCTGTTGTTCTCCATCGTTTTGCTACTTGCAGTGGGGTTATTATGGGTTGACCACGACTCCATGAACGCTCTGAAGTTTTATTACCTTTATCAAATTATCTTGCTCGTGTTTATGTGCGTGGCATGTTGGATTGTGCTGAGATGCCTTATGAATCAAAAGTTTGCTTGGTATCCATTTGGAGCAGATGATACTTTGCTAATAGTGTCATTCACTGGAATGTTTCTCTACGCTGGTCTATGCCTTACAGCTGCTATCGCAGAAATCAGAAACCATCGCTACGCTTCAGACTTCTCACTCGCCAAATCGACCCTTATTCTCTTCCAAGCAATGCTACAGGCCACAGCTCTCATCAAAGCTCTCCGCTTCAGACCGTTCAAGGAACTGGGCGCCAACATCGTCAGACAAGGAACACTGTTTCTGCTGACCACCAACGTGGCATTATGGGCTCAAGATTCGTTCTTTGAAATGAGGAATTTCTCCACAACCCCAGTACAGACAATATTTTACGGTGAGACGTCATGGAGGGCGATAACCACCTTAGCTTACCCATTGTGTATATTCTTTCGCTTTCATTCGGCAGCTTGTTTGTTTGAGGTTTGGTCTTCCTTTAGAGTAAATAATTTAAGTTAAAATCCCTAGAGCGGTTTTCTTTTAACTGTCACAAACTGGCAAATACAACTTGCATCCGAAATATCAATGAAATATCAATGCAAAAACCGGATTTCAGGCAAAATCCACACCAAGAAAACAGCTCCACAGAGATTCCCGCGCCCCACTTTTACTATAAGAAAGTCATTAGGAAAAACTTGCTAGTGCAAGAAGGGTTTAAAAATTTATTAACCGTGAAACCAAGCTTCCAATAAAAAGAAAAAGAAAAACGAAAAAGAGACAGTTAAAGGAGAGTCGCTCTTTTGATAATAACAAAATTTCTTTCGGTCAGAAAATTTCAAAGAAAGACAAGACAACGCAGCTCTTGTGTCACTTCACGATCATCGTATATTCACAGTGTATTCACTGGTCAATTTTTCATAACTAACGACAATATGTGTCAATATGCGTTAAAACATTACTCGCATATATATGGTCATGTCTACCTTTTGAATTTTTCAGCCAAAAGGAATCAAAAGCTTTTATGACGAAAGTAATGTTCTTTAACTAAGTGACGGTAGTATTTTTACTATAATTATTAGACTTTGGTAAAATATCTTTGGATATTTTGTAGTGTTAGACAGTTGTTTCCAAAACCAGTTTAACTAAATTATATCAATTTATATTTTGGCGAGGCGATTTTGCCGCCTTTATCGTTTATTGAAATGTAGATACGTCGCTTTCAAATTGGTGAGTTTTTAGAAAAAATTTCAACCAAAATTTTGTTCATTTGTAATTTACTGCATGCTATTTGAATGCGTTTTTATACCAAACTCATCATAAATGAGTGGATAATTCTTCATATTTGAGGCTTATTTTCAGGTGATTGAACTACCATAAGTTAACGTTAGACAACGTATTTAGCCTATCGTGGTATAAGGTGAGACAAGTTCAGTTTCATGTTGCCTTGGTAACGAAGCATTCAGCTTTCAGTAGCCTCGAAACGGACGTGTATTTGGTTACCAGTGCCTCTCAGGTATTACATTTTATCCATCACTTATAATATTATTATATATTTCACCTTTTTTCTAAAAACCGGAAATGGGAATTCAAGCAATACCAAAGGCCGTTTTACTTGCCAAAAAATAGAATGACTGTACGACTGACTATTAAACTGAAGACAGGCAGATACTGATAAAAATAATACTGGTACATAACCCGCTGCGTGACATAAGATAAAACGATAGCACGTCATTGACAAATAAGAAGAACGCAACGACTGATACGACGTAAAGAAATGACTGACCAAACTGTTTGACTGCTTGTAATTGACGTTATTACAGACAAAATTATGTGAAATATACAGTGAACAATCTGATGTATTGATTTACCGAGTGATTAATTAATTTACTGACTGTCTGACTAACAAAACATAAGTCATTGACTTAGCTTACTGAGCTGGATTATGACCTGAAATTCTCATTGGCTGAATTACAAAGCCAGTTGTTTGGTTAGCAACGGATTCCTGATGTCTGGTTCACTATCTGACTTTTGCTGCCAAACGCTAAACCTTGGTCAGAACGAATCCAATTGGCTCAAACATCTGGCTGATTGTCTCCAAAGCCGAATGAAATGACTAACTAACAGGATGACGATCCATTGCCCGGGTAACCAGCTGACTCACTGACAAAATGACAGTATAACTGACAGTTAAGACTACTGATGCATTGTCTGATTGACATACAGGCCAATTGAGTGGTTATGACATACTTAAAAGTGCTACATTAGTTGACTGAAAGGCTGTAAGAATAACTAAATAACTGATTCACTGACTAAACGTTTGACTGCCAGTGCTATCACTGTAGGATAGCTTTCTATGTGATCAAGAGACAGCTTTTAATGAATAACTGACTGAGTGATAGATCGACTGCGGTGACGACTGAAGCAATTTTAAAGGAAAATTAATGGCAAACTCGAAGCCATCCTTGGAGGGTTGATGTTTGAAAATTTCGTTTTTGAGCAAAAATAACCCAGATGTACTTATTAAGGAGCTAACCTGGCAGGCGCAAATTTTTATCTCTACAACGATTAGAGCGGTTTTCATTTGAGTGTCGAAAAGTAATTGGTTTTGCACTTTCTACACGATGCGATTGGCTTAAAAGATTCGCGCCACCTTTTCATCCAATCAGAAGTAA